AAGGAAGGAAGGAAGGAAGGAAGGAAGGAAGGAAGGAAGGAAGGAAGGAAGGGAAAGGAAAGGAAAGGAGAAAAAAGAAAGAAAGAGTTGATTTTCACTTTTGATGCTGCACTGAGAAATAACAAAGATGGACTATATGTTTGAGTGTAGGATCCAGACAGTAACTTAAACCACACAGATTATGTGAGAGGAATAAATTCTATGGAGAAAGAACAAACAGAGGCAAGTGTGGGTGATTGATGTGCCAGAGAAAGGAGTGGCCAGTGCAGGTCTCAGTGGCCACTAAACAACCTGAGCAAGGATGGCAGGAGGTGAGGACAGTTCATGGTGATCATGGTACCATCTCTCTACAGAGTTAAGAATATATCCTACTCATATATATGAAATTTATTTGGGAGTTCCTGTCACAGTATCAGTTTGGGTCATTTTAATTAATTCCACGCTGAGCACAACTGGAAGAAATGATGATCTGTTAAAAAAAAGTTGTAAATATGATATTTGACTTACAGAAAATAAGGAGTTTCACTACCAAACAATAAGAAAGCACAGTAAAAATACATAGCACTGAGGTGTTACTTTATGAAAACAGAATTTGACAAGCCAGAAAACAGTCTTACTAACACAGGCCACTTGTACAGGCTGTAGAGTTTCTATGCTTTGGTATAACAGAGCCAAAGTTTGTTTTTTAAAAAGAAGTGAGTTGAATATTTTGTAAAAAGTTTGATTTACACACTTGACATATATCTTCAGGACAAAGAAAAATGGGAAGTAATCAGGGCTTTCACAGATATACAGCCATAGGACACTGGGAAATCACAAATCTTGAGATAATCAAGACTATAAGATGAGCAAACTAATATTATATCAGGGTAAATGAATATGCAAATAAATAACCAAAGCTGTAATTAGTTCTATCAATTATTAAGATAAGCATGTCCAGCTCAAAGAAACCAAGACACCAAGAAGGAGAGCCAGTTGAAACCCTAAGAAACATTTTTTAGGATATAGATGTATGGTAATCAACACAATCAATAATATTACTTTATTAAAAAGGGAAAGAAATGTCTGAGTCAAGCAGAAAAGGTCAGATAAGTTGATGTTAGGGAAATGAACACTAAGGTATTTATTCAAATGTTTATTTCTTTCATGCAA